TATTCTAACAGTTTTTTTTAGTTTTAGTTTTCATGTTTAGATTGTTGACCCAACTTTGAGCTGATTTTTGTATATGGCTCGAGTTAGAGGTCCAGCTTTATTCTCTTGCATGTGGATATCTGGTTATCACAGATGATTCTTTCCCCAAATGAGTGATCCTAACATCCTTGTCAAAAATAAATTGGCCATACCATACTCTTAAGTGGAATAAATAGGACACACATGTGTAAATACCCAGTAGTTTCTCTGGTGTGAAAAACTAAAAGTGTAAATAAGGATCAAAATGTATAATTGATATTGTGAAATAGGAAGAAAAGGTCTGAAGGAGTAGGGGAAGTGGGAGGGGTAGGGGAAAGGAAAGAAGGGAAAAGAAAAAATACAAGAAAATGAAAAAATGGAAACAAAAGTCTTTGTAAATAGGAAAGGGTGGAGAGGGTGAAGGGAGGGCAGGGGAATGGGGAAAAAATAAGAACCGAGATACATCACGTAAAGGTACAAGATCCCAATGATGAAGATAACTGTATTGTATACCTAAAATGTACCAATAAACTTAATGAAAAAAATCAATTGGCCATAAATGCATGGGTTTATTTCTGAATGCTCAAGTTTATTCCACTGGCCCATATGTCTATCCTTATCCATACCACAGTGCTTTGATTATGGTAGGTTTGAAATAAGATTTGATATCAGGAAGTATGGTTCTTCCAACTTTGTTCTACTTTGCAGTATTGCTTTGAGGAGATCATATGATTTTTTTTTTGCCTGTTAATAAAGCGGATAACATGGCCTGACTTTTGAATACTGAACCTGCCTTGCATTCCCACAACAAACCCAACTTGATCATGATACATAATTCTTTTTACAAATGACTTGAACTTTGTTTAGGATTCTTCTATTTATATTTATAAGAAATGTTGGTCTGTACTTTTCTTTTTTGTACTATCTTTACCTTTGATATTAGGATAATATAATGACCTAGGAAGTGTTCTCTTTTTTTTCTGAAAGAGGTTATGTAGAATTAGTTCTAATTTGTCTTTAAACATTTAGTGGTAACTCTCTAGTGAGTCAGGGTGTGCCTAGAGCTTTCATTTCAGGAATTTTAAAAAAATTAATTTATTTTTTCATAATTACAATGATACTCAGATTTTTTATATTAGGTAATTTCAGTAGTTTATGCTTTTAGAATAGTTGCTCCATTTCATTTAAACATTCACATTTATATATGTAGAATTGCTCATTGTATCCTCTTATTCTTTTCATGTCTACAGAGTCTGTAGTAATAGTCTCTACCATTGAGCTACATCCCCAGCCCCTTTTTTATTTTGGGACAAAGCCTTGCTATGTTACCCAGACTGGCCTCTAACTTGTAACCCTCCTGCCTCAGCCTCCCAAGTAGTGGGGATTACAGGTATGCACCACCACACCCAGCTTCGATTCTGTGAAATATTTGTGGATTATGGTCCAAAATATGTCTATCTTAGTATATATGCCTTAGATTCTTCAAAAGAATGTAAATGTTATTGGTTTTGAGTGAAGTGTTTTATAAATGTCAATTAGATCCTTTTGAATCCTGTTGTTGAATTCTTCTGTACCTTGCTGATTTTGTATCTAGGCGTTGTATCAGTTGTTGAGAGAATATTTGAAATCTTCTGCTAGAAATGTGAATTTGTTTGCTTTTCAGCTCTAATAACATTTACTTCTTATATTTTGTAACTCTGGTGTCTGGAGTACTATACATTGAGAATTACTTGTTTTTCCTGGTGGACTGATCCTTTTAGCATAATGTAACATCCTTCTCTGTCCCTGCTCATTTTCTTTCCTCTAAAATCTACCTTATCTGATATTGCTGAAGTGCCCTTGCTATTATTTAAATTGATATATGCATGATATATCTTTTTCCATCCTTTTACTTTCAGTCTTCTTAAGTCATTACATTTCAACATATCATTAAGTCATGTTTTTATCTTCTTTACCAATGTCTGCCTTTTTATGGGTATATTTAGGCCATTTCCTCTTAATATACTTACTGATGTTGGTGTTTCTATTAGTTTATTTTTGTTTTCTATTTGTTCTCCATGTTTTTTCTATTTCTTTTTCCTGACCTCCTGTGAGTTATTTGAACAATTTTTAGAATTCCATTTGCTTCATGTATAGTGGGGTTTTTTTGTTTTGGCAGGGGGGTTTTGGTACTGAGGATTGAACTCGGGTCCTTGCGCTTGTGCAGCAGGTGGCGAAACCACTGAGCTAAGTCCCCGGCCCTCATGTAGTGTTTTTGAGTGGTTACTCTAGGTATTACTACATACATATAATATAGTGACCTACTGGTGTCAATATTTTACTACTTTGAATGAACTATAGAAACCATACCATTGCCTCCATCCCTTTATCTCCCTCTGTTTCTGATGAAATTATGTTAAAGATTTCTCCCTCAGACATTTAGAACCATAAAAGACAATGTTATAATTGGCATCTGAACCATCAAACATAATTAAGAAAATTCAAACAGAGAGGAAAATCAAGCCATAGGATTTTTTTATTTCTGCTGTTCTTTCTTCCTTACTGATATCCAAGACTCTTTTCATTGTTTTCTATTTAGAGAACTTCCTTTAACTATTAACCAGTAGTAGTATAGATCTGTTTTTGACAAGTTCTCTTAGTTTTCCTTCATCTAAGAATGTCTTGCTTCCTTTCCATATCTGATGTATATTTTCACCGAGTAAGATTCTCTTTTTTTCACCACTTGAAAAGTATTATGTCACTCCCTTCTGGCCTCCATGTTTTCTAATCAGATATCTGCTGCCATTCCAACTAATTTTCCCCTGTAGGTAGTATCATTTCTCTATCCCTGCTTTCCAGACTGTGTCTTCACATTTCAGAAGTTTGATTAAAATGGGTCAAATGGATTTCTTCAGATTTACAGTTTTTGATCTTCACTCAACTTCTTGAGTTTCCAAGTTTATGTCTTTTGACAAACTTGGGAGTTTTTTAGCCATTACTTATTTGAGTGCTTTTTCAGTTCCATTTGCTCTCCCTCCTTCCCTTCTGGAATTCCAATACCATGATTGTCAGATCTTTTGGTTATAATTCTAGTTGTCCTCAAATTACTGTTTAATTATTTTCCAGTAAAATTTCTCTTTGAAATGCAGATTGAGTAATTTTCATTGTCTTATCTTCTTTCTTGTGTCCTTTGTATCTCACCTTTAGATCCCATCCACTGAGTTTATTTCAATTATTGTATTTGCAGTTCTAAAATTCTATTTTGTTCTTCTTTATATTTTTGTTTCTTTGCTGAAAAGTCTTATTTCCTGGCGGAGACATTCTCTATTTTTGTTTGAATAAAAAATGGTTGTAATTGTTGGTAAAAGTATTTAAGTGATTACTGTTTTTAAATTCTTGTCAGATAATTCAAACATCTGTGTCATCTTGGTGACACATCTGCTGATAATATTTTTCATTCAGCTGTAGATCTTCCTGGGTTTTGGTATGATGAATGCTTTTTTATTGAAATCAGGACATTGGGATGCTATATTATAAAACTGGCTGACTTCCTCCAACACTGCTCTGACATGGAGGGGGGAGCCATCTTATTTCTATCAAGTGGGTATGGAAGTCCAGGTTTCACATTTAACCTTCACTGACCTTAAGGGGGTGGGGCTCATCACTGCTAGGCAAGAGTGCAAGTTCCGGGTCCCCATTAGGCATCCACTGGTGTCTCTGTAGTGCGGAAGGGAAGAAATGCCTCATCACTGCCAAATGGGAGTGGAGTCTAAGCTCCCTGCTTGGTCCTTGCTGATGGGACCAAATGGGACTGCAATGTTTTATCCGGTGTTTAGCTGAACTAGAGCAGTTTTGCCTAAATGTTTTCCGTCTTGCTAGCCTGCCCCTTTCCTGGCCTTCTGGCTAGAAACAGCAGGCTTTTGTTGAGAACTTTTTGTCTGTGTCCATTGGCATTCTGGGTTGTTGCTTCTTTTAGCTTCACGTCTGGAATATATGAGGCAAAAGAAAGTCTGGGGAACTCACCACAGCATTGTTCCTCGGATCCCGAGGTCCCAACCAACCCTAACTTTTCTCTGCCTTTCAGGGTCTTCTTATATTTGTTTTATATATAATATCAGGCCGTGTTAGTTGTACGCAGTGGGAGAATGGGGAAAGGCATTTCTCTGTCTTTCCAGAAGTGTACGTTTGGACGTTGAGATTTTAGAGCCTGCTGCTGAACTGCCAAGGAGGTTTATGGTAAATAAAACTACCTACATATATGAATGCCTTAGCAGAGCTCTTATTTAATATCTGCCTCATGAAAAACAAAAAGGAAGGACAGCTTTGCCCGGATTTGCATGTGCGCTCATCTATCATGGAGGGTGTATGTTGGTGTAGCCTGGTCAGAGTTTGCTACATTTCCTGTAAGCCAGTGCCCCAGAGTTTCATGAGCCCCTTCCAACGTCTATTGCTTTATTTCAGTGTCAGCCAGTCTTTGAACTGTGTGTCTGTTCATTGACTGGGTGCTGGTAGGGCCAGAGTTGGTGTTTCATCCTTCTATAGATCCTAAAGCTGATTCTAGTGAAGCTGAAGGGTCCCTAAGCCATCAGTTGATGCAGCTACCATGTTTTTCCTATAAGGGACCTGCATTTCAGAGAAAAGAACAGCCTTTCTCTAGGTCTCAGTGCATACCACTCAAAGGCAAAGCCAGACCCAGGAACCACACTCCCCAGCTACACGCCCAGGGTTATTTTAGTTATATCAGCCTGTTCGTCTACCCACCTCTCTGCTCTCCATTGAACTTTGCTGTGCCCCATGATTGCAGACTGCCAACCGCCTCCCACAAGTGTCCCTCACCCTCGGAAGTGGTGGTGCTCAACAAGGGTGGTGGGGTGGGGAGAGAGATGGGGAAGGGAGTGTGGCTGACTCCACACAAACCTGTCCTCAAGAGTGAAAGTCTGATTCATGGGGTCCATGGTCTCTTCTTTGTATCTGAAAGACAGTGTACTTTTTGTCTCCCTAAGCCCTGTGTCTAGGTCGTTTGGGAAGCGCCTTGGAGAGTCAAGAATAGAGTTGCAGGTCAAACAATGGATGACTGGAAAAGTCGGCTTGTAATCAAGAGCATGCTTCCCCATTTCACCAGAAAGCTCCAGGAATCGGTCAGAAAATGGGCTATGGAGGGAGGGGGTTTTTGAATGCTTCTGATCTTAAACTTGAACATGAACTGTGTTATTGAAAGTTCTCTTTGCAAACTTGATGGTGGGTGCCCAGCCCAAAATAGAAGGCACTTGAATCTGATGTAGGAAAATCTAGGAGATGAGCTAACCCGCCCCTTGAGGGTTTCTGAGAGAGATCCAAATATAATCCAAGCCTTGATCTGGATTCCCGGTCCACCCCTTCGATGAGAAAAGTGATGAAGAAGTTCCGACCTCTTCTCATAATAGAAGCCAGCCAGAACAGCAAGCACTAGGTGTACCACATTCGCTTCCCAGTATACCTGAGAACAAGAAGCCAGTGAGTAGGGCACAGAAAGGGATTCCCATTCGACCCTCTGGCCCTAGTGTCCTTTCTAAAATTCATCAAATGCTATAGCTGTCCTATCTAGAAATTCAGACATCATCCAAGTGTCTGAAATTCAGCATTGGGGATTCTAGTGGTAGTTCTAGGGGCCAGAATGATGATATAAGGGATCATGAGAGAGAAGGGGCCATTGGTTGGTTGAATTTGACAATAAAAACCTCCAACAGCACCAGTCTACCAAAATTAGCTCAGTTAGCAAGAGCTGCAGCAAACACAATGGCTGTTATCTCAGGATATTTGGCGCTCAGAGGAGTGGCTTGCTTAATTTCTGAAATTAATAGAGCAGAGAGGAAATAGCTCTTATAGAGCCATGGGCCTGCTTCCTTCCTGTTCATAGAACTAGAAGCCCTGGGTTCTGAGGTAATGCCATTTCACATAACTAGAGGGCCTGCCTTCTCCAGTTCCCAGGGCAATCTACTTTTTGTTTATTTTAGTATTCTGGCATGTGCACAGGTGTGCGTGGAGGGGATGTTGATTGGATCGTGATTCTCTTTTTTCCCCTCACTGTCAACATACTTAATACTTACTATTAAGTATTGCTGATCTCCATCCTAATGACCCTTTGTATTTTGTGCTTCTCTTTTATAGTCAACAGTTGAGTATGCAAAGACAAACCTCTGGTAATGTCCCCAGAGTCCGTGTTCAGTTTCTATATAACTTGAAACTCCTCCTTTGTTTTGCACATTTCCATTCACTTGGCTCACACCCTGAGACAAAGGCGGGTGGGCTGTAGTTGCAAGGGCCTTCTCCCCTACTCCTCACCCACTGTGCCGACACCCTTGGAGACCGTGTGATGGGTAAGTAACTGCTTTGGCTGAGGTCCATGCAGACCTAAATGCATGTATTCTGGGGCACGTTGGCCTTTCCATAGATCTGTGGAGCAGCCGTCCATGCCCTCACTCTAAAAAGTTGTTGTTGCTCACACCACTTGCAGGTTTAGCGTCTCCTGGCAGATGGCCTTTAGCACCCTTGGTAAGCCATGCCAGAAATTCACATTCATGGCTTAGAGTTGCACTTTGGACTTGGCCAGAATCGGCCCTGCCTCCTCTTCCATGACACACCCCTACACTGCCCTTAGCTCTGAGTGATGTGGCTGTTAATCCAAATGCCAAGCTGCCCTAGAAGACCGAGGATTTGCCCCAGTTGGGGAAGAGCCAAAGAAATGTGCCTCAGGCTCAGAGAGCAGCTCCCTCAAATGAATGATCTTCACAGTTGAAACTGCACCTGTCTTCTTGGAAGTCACATATGGTCTCAGAAAGGGATGACACCAAGAGCCCCCTCCTTCGCCTGGGTCTGATGGGTGGCTGCTCCATGATGGGAGCATTTAGGCGATGTGATCACAGCTGAATTTTAGTGGCTGGTCAATCTCTAACATCAGGAACACACCCTGTGTTAACATCAAACTGTGCTGGGTGCACAGGATCTCAACAGCTGGGTGTTTATAGACGGAGGAACAGAGACTCTCAGATTAAAAGAACTGCGTTCACCAAGAAACCTGCTGTCCAAACAAGTTACTGCAGGGCCTGGGATGCTTGCAGCAGAATGGGATCCTCAGGTGGCTCCATTGTTTGCTTTCGTCCCGATGCTTTGTAACATCCAGGATGACACCAGGCACCCTGGTCCCAGGAGACCATGGGCATCTGAAAGCACACTGCTTGTACCACTCCCCCTCATCCTTAAAGCAGCCATGACATAGAGAACAGCTTCGGGCATTCAACTTAACTGCTTCTCTTGTTCCTTCCTTAAAAACAAGCTAACAGAAAACCCATGGCTCAAAAGCAAAGCCTTAAAATTCTATCAGTCCCAGGGGTGAGTTCTTTTTAAACAGCTCTAGGACTTACATGTAAATGATGGAGAAACCCCTTACAGGAAAATGCGCATCTGATATGACAGCTATTCTTAGCCTAAGAGCATGGCTCAGGATACCCAGTTTTAGTCTTTCATCTGCTCCCAAGTAGCTATGGAGGTTTGTCCATCTTCTGCCCACTATGAGAACAAGTTCCCATGAACCACGAGGGAGAACAGCCACTTTGGTTGAGCACTGACTAGGTGCTAGGCATTTTGCTAAGCATTTGAGGGACACTATCTCCTCTAGCCTTCATCATCACCCTGAGAGGAAGCAGCTATTAGGATCTCCAGGAAAATGAGGCTCAGAAAGGTTAAGCAAGATGACCAAAGTCACAAATCTAAGAAGTGGCACATCTCAGAGCCCACTATCCTCACCACCATAGTCTCCTGCCTCTCAGATCTAAACAAGTTGAAAACCAAACATGGCAGGCAATAGTCATCATAAGAAATCTCGGCAATGCACATACCTTCTTGGTACCATTGTTCATTCATTCAGGAGCATAATTGCTTAATGACTCTTGTGATAGAAGAAAAAAGAAGTTTTACCTTTTGAACATGTGAGCATCTTTCCAAGGTTAATAAGGCATCCGGTCTCCACAGTTATTGCATGGAGCTTTAACGGGAGATATAACAGTTGGTTCTTCCCTTCGAAGTTCAGATGTTGACTCCTTTCCTAGGTCTGTAGATCAATCGATTACTAGTGTGAGACACTCAGAGGCATTAGCTATGCAAGTTGGTAGTGCTCTGGAGCCTGCATGGAGTCAGGACTCAGTGTGTATGTCACATGTCATCTGTCTCAGTCTATATCCCACTGGAAGTTGCAGAAATTCCTTCAACCCTGAGAAGCCACCTGTTTATTCCATTTATGGGTCAGCTCCTGGACAAAATGGGAGGGTTAAGGGTATTAAATGAACCATTGGAGAAAAAAGGAGCACTGTACTCTTGGTTCATTTTCTGTGTTCAGCCACTTAGCCTTACTAAAAGGACTATTCTTATCATTCTCTTTCTTCATGGATTAAGACAATGTGATCTAAGAAACTCAATGACTTGCAGCAGGATGGTCATGAAGAACTTGGAGAATACATCGAGGGTTTCCACTTGGGTGACCACAAGTTCAGTGTGCTTTCCACCTACAGAATGACCAAAGTCAACCCCTAGCCTGTCTCCTTTCCACCTCAAAAAGCAAGTGGGGCTAAGGCGGAAGAGAGAAGACCCCTGCCCTCAGTGTAACAGTATGTGGAGATTAGAATGACTACACAAAAATACAGTGGACTCTTGACTTACAAACTCAATTTGTTCCCGAGGGCTGGCTGTAACTCAAGTTGGTCAGTGAAGGTTCAGGCTCCTCTACACAGCCTTCAAAGTCTCTCTCCTGTACACAGGCAGATCTCCGTATCCTTAGAGAGACATTGGCCCAGGATTTCTCAGTTAACCCCACACAGGAAAGGATGTTGTCATGTTCCTCCCAGGACTCTTTAAGGGTTAAATCTGTATCCAAAACCATTTGGAAGCACAAATGGCCAGCATTCAGGTCAAAATTCAAGACTTTGGTCGCAAGTTAAAACTAAAATTCCAGTCATAACCCAAGTTGTTCATATATCAGGCCAGCCATAACTTGACGATCCACTGTCCACTGTACTAACTCCATCCTGTCTGTCCCTCTTCTTTAGACAGGTGACCTTAGAAAAGCCTAGCTGGATCCTCTCTATTCACCTCCTCCCATGGTGTGTGATCCGTTAAAAAACTGCTTGGGAGCACATGCTTTGCCTCACAAAAATGGCACCACACTCAGGAAGGAGAGCTCAAATTTGGTCCCAGCGTGTGACTACCTCTTAGTGAGACCTTGAACAAGTCCCTTTTCCCCTTGGTGCAGTCTCGAAGGCCCTGTCTGTCTCTGGCATCCTGCCACATACTCAGTGTGTCTTCCACATGCCAGCCTTGAGCTGGACCCTGGGACCGAGGCGTTCAGTCTAGGATGGCATTATTCCTGGGCTTCCTTCAGTGGGAACAAATGTGTCCTACTCTGAAGGTCACGGTGGGGCTTGGGGGAGTGAATGGTGTAGTGGCTCTCTTGTGCTCCTGCAGTATGGGTATTGAGATCACCACCTCCTCAAAGGAGAGACTGGGGATCAGGGAGAGCAGGGACTTCCCCAAGGTCACATGGCAGGGGACTGGAGATTTGGATCTCACACCCAGGTGCCCTGCCCCCGGAGCTCCTCCTGCCTACTCTGCTGCTTCCCTTTCCTGAATTAGGAGCTCAGATGGCCATGGGGCCTTCTGCAAGCCATGCACAATTCTAGGTGCTCAGGCTACAGTAGGGGACAAAACAGATCCAGATTTCCTGGAGCTTCCGTCCCAGCGGCAGACACAACCCATCACCAGGTAGAGTGGAAGCATCTCCACGTCACTGTTCTGGCTCCCTGGAGCCTTCTGACCAGCATCATATACTGCCTAGCTGCCAGAAAACCAACTGCTTCCAAATCCACAGGGAGGTGGGGCCAGCCAGGTAGAACCTGGTGCGCCTTTCGGAAGTGGAGAGGAAGCCCAGATTCAAGGGTTGGCATCTTTGCCAGTGTCCCCTGCCTCACAGACTGAGCATTTGTAGGTGCAAGTCTAGCCCCAAGAGAGGGAATCTCCCATGTATGGGCCCCATCGGGTCCCAGGGAGGCGTCTGTCCCTGCCACTTACTGAGCTCTTCATGTGCGCCTCTGGGCCTCAGTCTGCTCCTCAG